AACCCCTAGTCCAAAAATAAAGCATGAGAACATCCACAAATATCCACCAAACCTTGACAACTTTCAATTACACCTCACTTCAATTCTAAACCCAAAATACAAAGCGTTATATTAACACTAATAATATCAAATAATTGTTGGTCAAATTATAATTTTTTTTTGAAGTGTCAAATATTTTCTTAATTTAAGGATGTGATAGATTTATAAAGGATTTTGTTGACTTGTGTCTTTAGGTTTAACAAAATTATATATTATTTATAACACTGATTATTATATAGAATGTATAATTTTTTCGCTCATTGACAAAATCTTATAATTATAATGATAGGTCATATATTTTTAAATGAAATCTATATAATAAAGCAGAATGATTTTTAAAAATATGTCAAAATGTATCAGACATACATTTCATTTTAATGGCTTAGATCAATCTTCAGTATATATCAACGGCTTTGATATATTTATTTCCTGCCCAAACACTTCTATTCCTTAACCTTCCGACCTATCCACGTCTCATCCCCATTCCCTCTTTATCTTTCTCTCTCTTCCTCTCTGTTCTCACCTACGTCTCTTCCTTCCTTCTTTATCTCTCTCTCTCCCTCTCTGTTTCTTCGTCAACAGAACCCTCTCGACCACTGCCATCGCGACCATCGACCACCTCTATTCCTGTCCTCCTCCCTCTCTTTGTTGTATTTTTTTCCCGAAATACATCTTCAATCTAGCTCTGTTGTTCATCGTTGTTGTCTTTGTTGAAGTCGATTCGCCGCTGCTCATCATCACCACTCGCAAGGTTCTCTCTCTTCGCAAGGTAATTTCGGTCTCTCTCTGTTGTGTTTCACATTCGGAGGAAATAGGTTCTTCTTTCGCTGCTGTTCATCATCACCACTCGCAAGGTTCGATTTCTACGGAGCGTTCTCTTTTCGCATTGAATCCACAATTAGGGTTTTGCTTTGTCAATTTTCTTCAAATTTTGTCAATTTTCTTCAAGTTTTATCAATTTTCTTCAGATCTAACAACAATTTATATCCCGAACCACTCGATTCAACAGATCGAAATCACGATCTGCTCCAAAAATTGTTCATTTTCCCCTGAATGTGGTACTTTCTCTCAAGAAATTGTTCCTTTATATGCATGTATGTTTGTCTTTGTCTTCGATTGCATTATCTTCTACATTTATTTTCTTATTTTTTATCTGCATTGGAAGGCTACGATCGAAGTCAATTGAATTCTGTTTCTTTGTCTTCGATTACATTATCTCCTACATTTATTGTTTCTATAATGTTTTTTAGGGCTAAGGTTGAATTGAATTATCTGCATTAGAAGGCTAAGATTGAAGTCAATTGAATTCTGTTTGATGTGGTTTTGAATTTCATTTGAAGGGAAATCACGTTCATGAGTGGTTGCTTTGAATTTAACCTATCAATTTCAGGTGAGCATATTTTACTTGGATCAGCAGATTTGTTGATGTATGTTTTTTAATTGACTGAATTGTTCATGTGTGCTTCAGATCTAACAACAATTCGTATGTCCAACCACTCGATTCAAAAGGTTGAAATCACGATCCGCTCCAAAAATTGGGTTGCTTACAATTGGTTTTTTGGTAGACTAGGGTTATGGAAAGCTTGGCTAAATGACTTCAATTGCATTATCTCCTACATTTATTTTCTTTGTAATGTTTTTTTATTTTTTATTTTTTATCTGCATTGGAAGGCTACAATCGAAGTCAATTAAATTCTGTTTGATGTGGATTTGAATTTCATTCGAAAGGAAATCATATTCTTGGAAATTGCAATCTTAGAATAAGTCTTTAATGTTAGTATAATATTATATCCTAAAGAAATAACTTCAAGTAATATATATCCTTTTTCTTTTTTCTTTTTTTTTTGGGAGATTAGGTAATCTTCATTTTTTTCAGTGTTTGAAATTTGTTGCTATATATATATATAAAATCTGCATGTTGAATAGATTGTAAATTTGTAATTCTTGGTGGTGTGAAGTTCTGGTTTTCTTCCCCTTTGGAGTTGTTGAAATTGAATTCAAACAAAAAGAAAAGGGAAAAAAAAAAAAAAAAAGCAGAAAGAAATTATCAGAAGAGGTTTCTTGAGAATACCCTTATTTTTTATTTTGTGTTTATTTAAATTATTTATTCAATAGATTATTCACCTAAGACTCAAGGTAACACATTGTTTCTCTAGAACTGTTTTGTTTCTGTTTTGGAAAATGACATCCATAAGTTGGTGGATTGCTAAGGAAAACGATCAGATTGAAGAGTTGTTCTTCTTTTCCATACGATGAATTTTGGGTTCGAAACTCAATTCACACAGAAAGCTTTTCTTAATGCTGGACTGAACAATGAAAGAATAAAAAAATCAAATCTCTATTGCTTGGAATTTTTATGTTTCACATCTATTTTTAGTTTCTTCATTGGTTTCTCTCCTATAAGAAACAATGTTTATTTTCAGTGGTTTAGACAAAGACGCAAGAAACCTATGCTGGAAGCGCTCAAGAAAATTAAAGCTGGTAACTACATGAGCACTTGATCCTAAGATATAATACTTTTAAAATAGTTATGAAGTTATATCATTATATGGGTTGTTGGTTTTTGCAATTGATTTTTTTCTTGTGTTTCTCTTATTCTTAGTAAGCTATCTTCTTCTTGATTAATTTTTGCAGAGCTTATGGTTCTTGGATTTATTTCCCTACTCTTGACATTTGGGCAACACTACATTGCCAACATCTGTATTCCCATAAAGCTCGCAGACACAATGTTCCCATGCCCCATGAAACATCCTCCCCAGCACCACGGACCAGAGCTTAATTTGCCTCATGAGCCTGATGAGCTTAATGCGCCTCATGAGCCTAAACATGTGCCTGATGAACATAATTTGCCTCTTGACCCTAAACATGAGCCTGAACATGTGGCTGAACACCATACGAGGCTTCTATGGTATGAGCATAGATTTTTAGCAGGTGATAGTCCAGTTTCAGGGTGCAAGAAGGTTAGTGTCCTGTTCAGTAGGTGATTTTTAAATCTCGATTTTGATCTTTTTGGTTTGTTGCAACACAAAGATTGTATCTTCAAGTATATCTTATGCATATGCACTAAATTTATAGAAAAAGGGAAATTCAAAGGTTCAAGTACTGAACAAATTTCAAGATGAAACTTCTTTGTTTATTCAATTTGTGGATAACTTGACGTTGATATATATATGTATATAAAAGACTAATAGAAGAACTACATTATATGTTCTCTTTTCTTTCATCACCCACACTTCCCCGGCCAAACTTGCTCCATTTTGACCATGTCTCAACATTACCATTTCCTGTAGGCAAATGGTTTAAATTCATTCTATTCTATATAAAGTGAGTGGGGGTAAATGGAGGAGTGTCTTGAGAAGGGGACTTCCTAAAGAAAGTGTATGGGTTGATGGCTTTTTAAGTATGAAATTGGTCCCTCTTTTTTTGAGTACCTGTTGCAACAGGTATTACCATATCTGCTTTCTCAGGAGCACGCCCAACAGTGACTATCTTCTGAAGAATCACCAAAAATATCAGGTTAACATTTTGTGCATAGTATTAACTAAATAACCATAAAGATGACAATTGAAGTACTTACTGAAGTTATTTCGAATGCACTGGGCATTGAAACCTTATAACCTATGTGCCTGGAGTCACCGTCACCTATATAGTTACCAATTTGAATATAAGGTACAAAATTGAAGGGCAAAAAAGAAGTACAAGTAAAATGAGATATAGCAAACTTGATTAGTTCAAACACTAACCAAATGATCTTTAGAAAGATCTTGAACAGAAGAAGCAGTCAATTTTGGAATTTGACAAACGAAAGGTCCAAACAAATAAATTTTATAGCCTTCCAATCAAAGAAGAAATCTTTATATTGAGAAATAGACCAGCATGAGTGTGTGGTATAAATGTCATCCGATTTTGAGAGTGAATTAAAAGATAGAGCTTCCAATTATGATTATATAAGGATATATTACAAACAAAATTTGCACTAAACTAAAGGTCAAATATTTAGCATATTGGCAGTGTGCAAAAACTAATTTTGATGGGTATAGTGAAGCTAGGGAGTTCATCCAGAAAATAAACAGAAATAATTTCAGATTACAATTTCAAACCGCAAATTCAACTGAAAGCAACATGGCAGAGACTGAAGAACAAGAAAATAAACAAGAAACCCAAAAAACAAAAATAAAAAGGTCCCAAGAAGTTTTAAGGAATGGAATTCCAAGAAGCAATATCAGTTCAGAATACAGTGGTGAATAGGAAGACAAAAAATGAACCAGTTAAATTACAAGAAAATTGAGAAATTGCAATTTGGGGAAGTGCAATTTATCTTGGGAAGATTTTTTTTATTAAAAATATAAAAAATGCTACATATTCTTAAAAAAATACAACTTTATAACTCTCACTCACCTATGATTGGTCTAGGAAGGAAAGAAAAAAAATAAAAATATATGATTGGTTTACATCATTTTGAGAGTCATGGAGGTTCCTAATTTTGGGGGTTCCTGAAATTTATTTGGGTTACTAATAAATTGGTGTTTTATTTAAGTTTCATGTCTTCATTTATGAATTTTTCTCTTTCCCGTGAATTCGTTACCTACTCTTTGAAAAGAAAAGAAAAAAAACAAAAAACAAAAAATTTGAATACATTCCTCTATAATTTTGATTTATATTTTAATCTCATAATTAATTGTACCGTGCCTTCAGCCATGGGTATACGATAGTATATATATATTGTAGATCTATGAAGAACACAATAAGTAGTTCACATTTTTGTTCGATTGGCCTGCACATTGTCATGGATGCAGTTTTTCTATAGGTTGATTCTTCACCTTCTTCTTCATTTTTTGCAGATTTCTGCTACTTTGAAGACATCGATTGGTTAATTCACTCTCTATCAAGGTATTTCTTGATCCTTCAAGTAGTATTGAGTTTTTAATACAGATTGTAGCCAAAAATTAGTTTTAATGTTGAATTAATAAAATTAATTTAACTCATTCTGTTTGATTTTTGTTTACCTCATCCTTTTGATGTGAATTTTAATTATATGTATTTCTCGATCCTTTTGATGTGAATTTTAATTTAACTCAGGTTTGTTAAAAGAACTAGGCCATATATGTTCCCTGTTCTGTGTTAGCTGGAACATCTTTGGGGAGTGGTGAAGATCCTTGACAAGGATCTGATTACCCCAAATAAATAAATAAATAAAAGTAATGCCAAACTCAAATATAACATGAAATATCATTAGAGCTTAAAAATTACTCAAGTTGTTTTTTTAGTCAGTGTGGAGAGAGCACAATCGTCTTGAAAATTACCAGTGACTTCACATTTTCAACTTCATTTTGAACTAGAAAAGATCTTTGTTTTTGTGATTCTGACTAGGTACATATAATTGAATAGGAGCATTGTTGCAATTTCCTTAATTTTCAATTTCGTTAGCTGGCATTTGCATGAGAGAAAGCTAAAATAAACGAATGCACCACGAGATTGTGGTTAAAATTCTGTTTATTAATCCCAAGTCTTTTTCAGACTGATTTGGTTGTGTTACAGGGTTAAAGACAGTAGTTCACTGCATTTTTTAAGGGAAAATTATTTAGAGCTCTTAGGGCAAGCCTATGGGCATGTGGATTTTTATTGGTTTAAAATAAATAGTTGAACCCTATCACTCATTTGAGCCAATCTCAAATGAGTTTTAATGGAGCCGATTAAGAGTTGATCTTGAATCATTTTGTTTTTAAGGATAACATCTCACCTTGCTTTACCTAATTATTTTTTGGTCAGTATACAATTATTTAAGAAGAGGTGTCAAGGAGGTACAACCTGTATACTAAAGATCTATACCATCTATACATCCAGATGCCTAAAAATTGGTTCAAATTTTTGTTGCCTTTGATAGATGGATAAAAAATTGCCTATTAATGGATGGATCATATTTTAACCCTGTCATTAGTATATATGGTAGATTAGTTTCCAGTCTAGGATTCGTATATTGCCTTTAGCATTGTTGTTGGTATGGTTTCTCTTAGTTCTTGACGTACTAATTTTTGTTGTCAAAATTTGACTGCTAATGACCTTCTACATGGCTTTTTTTTGTAAATAGCTAAGAGGTTGCCTAGAGCTCAGCCTGCTCAGAATCCTGCAGGGATGGTTCTTGTGGACAGACCAATAGAAGGATCCCGATTTGCACCATGTTGTGCCTAATATCTGACTGTAATCTTCTTCTACCTATCTTTTTCCTTGTTTTCCTTTTTTCAGTATTATTATTTTTGATTATCCATGATGCCATAGTTGTCTGATTTTAAAATTAAAGCAACTTTTATTGATACATATCCCAAAGTACACTCCTAATGAGTATATATATTCTAGAAAAATAAATAAATGAACAAATAAAGGAGTGTTGTTGCGGAACATGTGCCTACAAGTTTGGGTGCTTGTTCTTTTCTGATTTGGTGCATAATCTCTTAATTTCTTTCTTCATTCAAAAAGTTACTGTTATCTATGCCTGTTTCCATAAAGTGCATGGCTTTACAGGTAAATCTTCATGAATCTGAAAGAAGCAATCTCATGTGCAAATATCTTGTTTTTTTTTTGTGTTTAGTGTGGTTGTGGGAGGAGGGGAGGAGGTTGCTGTTGAGCATTTCAAGTTGGCAGTCAAGGATGGGTAGCGTAAGGTAAGATGCTAAACAGTGTGTTGTACATGACTATAGGTGTGTTGGGGTTGGATGAAGATAGTAGTAGTATGATTAAGCTCATCTCCTTTCGTTTACTTGTGTAAGGGTTGACCAGATAGTCTTAGGTACATTTGAGAATCAAAACACATCTAGACACTCAGAGGGGATGACCGGGAGAGAAACATAATAGTCCAACCAATGTTGTGACCTAAGTTGGCTTTTGTGCAAATGCATTTGTTTAGGCTATCAATTTTGTGTATTTTCTGTTTTAGGAAAGTTTTCACTTATCAATTACAGATTTCCTGATTTATATGCTGCTGTTTGTTATGGTAAGTTTCTACTCCTTTCTGGTATCTAAATTTGAGCTGAACTCAAATTTGCTATCTTTGGCAATTGCATATTTTTCTTTATTAATTTCATGTTTTACAAGGAATTAAATTTGATTACATAACTTCCTAGTGGTGCAAGTCATCTTGTACAGTAGATAGACCTACCATGTTACACCTTCTTTGGTGCTTTTAGCAGATTGCCTTCCCTATGAAAAGCAAAAACTACAATTTTGGATTAGATTTATAAACATAATTTTCTAGAAGCTTGAGGACATCACCTTCTTGTCTCCACAAAATTTTCTTCCTAGTTCTCCTGCATTTAATAAATCCAACCCTCAGTCTCCCTTTTCTGCCAGAAGCACAGACACAGACAATGTATTGACATTTGGGAAGACCATTTCCCTTATTGTTGAAATCCGACCAAATATTAATGAGATACTATGTACAAGCGATGGCGGAGCAATATTAATGAGTTACACTAGATTTTGTTCAAATCTGTAATAGCTTTATGACTAAATCAGGCACTTTAGATGGCTTCTGTATGCATTGGAATTTTCATTAAATGGTTTGTCTTTTATTTTGATGCCTGTCTTCCCTGGACAGCTATGTTACATTCGTAAGAACCTGTTCCATGCAGTTCTTGTTTTGGATCCTGGTTCAGCTTGCGGTCTTGAGGCAAGTATTTAATATCTGTCAACTAATCTGAGTTTCTTGTTGCATTTCATTATCACAGGAATTGCTCATGTTTTTTTTTCTCCTTTGGTATTTGTAGTCCATTGACATGATTATTTCTTTGTATGAGAATAATCTTCCAATGAGATTTGGGGTGATATTGTTCTCTACGAAGTTCATCAAGATGATTGAAATGAATGATGGCGAAATCCCAGCAGCTCCCATGAGTAATGATGATGTATCCAGTCTGGTAATGCTTCTCTCTATCTTATTCAATGCCTGTGATAATGTCTTCTAACTAAAAGTACATTAAGCGTATTTGCAAGTCAATTGGGTTTAAGGACAATATTACCTTAGATAACATGTAACCCTTGATCCGATGCCTGTTCTTGAACCACACTGATGTGACTTTGCCAGATTAGAGGAAGTATTTTGACATAATTCTCGATAGTGTTGCATTGTGCCTTACTGGAGCAAGGAATAAGAATTGTTGTCAAATTTTTTATGAATTTCAATGATGATGAGCATTTCTGTTCTATTATCTAGGCTTTAATTTTAAGGGATTGTTCTGCCTTATTTTGCAAACCAGTAATGCCAAAGGTGACTGATATCACATGCCGTTGTATATATTTGTAAACAAGAGGTTGTTACTAATCCTCCAGATATTTAACTGGGCTTAGCTGCCACCTGACTGCCCGCCCATCCTGAAATTTATTGGTGGAGCCTAATTTGAACTTGGTCATAGTGGCCTGAACTTGAAGTTTGGCTGATCTTTTTCCCAATATGAAATGAAGCTTTTAATTATTTTTTATGTTATATTTGTGTTTTTCAATTGTATTGTAGAAAAGCACAATCATAGAAAGAGGCGAGATAGGGATAAGGTATTTGAACTGCAGTCAGTTAAGTTAGACCTAAGCTTTAGCAGACTTTTTATTTATGCTGAGTAAAATTGGAAGTTCAATCCAGAAACCACTTTACCTTTTTACATATCTGGGAACTTAAATAAAAAAGGAAGTTTAATAGAAAAGTAAGTTGAGTAAAAATGGAAGTTGAATAAAAATAAAAATGAAAGTTGCATAAGATTAAAAATGGAAGTTCAATCCAGAAACCACTATACCTTAACGATGTATTTGGAAATTAAATACAAAAGGAAGTTGTATAGAAAAGAAACTTGAATTAAAAAAGAAGTTGAATAAAAATAAAAATGGAAGTTAATTCAAGAAACCACTATACCTTAACGATCTATTTGGAAATTAAATAAAAAAGGCAGTTGAATAGAAAAGTAACTTCAACAAAAATAGAAGTCGAATAAAAATAAAAATGGAAGTTGCAGAAAATTAAAAATGGAAGTTCATTCAAGAAACAACTATACCTTAACGATCTAGTTGGAAATTAAATAAAAAAGCAAGTTGAATAGAAAAGTAAATGGAATCAAAATGGAAGTTGAAGAAGAAAAAAAATATGAAAGTTGCATAAAATTAAAAATGGAAGTTCATTCCAGAAACCACTATACCTTAACGATCTATTTGGAAATTAAATAAAAAAGAAAGTCGAATAAAAAAGTAACTTCAATAAAAATAGAAGTTGAATAAAGATAAAAATGGAAGTTGCAGAAAATTAAAAATGGAAGTTCATTGAAGAAACCACTATACCTTAACGATCTATTTGGAAATTAAATAAAAAAAGGAAGTTGAATAGAAACGAAACTTGAATAAAAAGGGAAGTTGAATAAAAATAAAAATGGAAGTACATTCAAGAAACCATTATACCTTAACGATCTATTTGGAAATTAAATAAAAAGGATGAATAGAAAAGAAAACTTGAATAAAAAAGGAAGTTGAACAAAAATTAAAATGGAAGTTGAAGAAAATTAAAAATGGAAGTACATTCAAGAAGCCACTATATCGTAACGATTTATTTGGAAATTAAAAAAAAAAAGCAAGTTGAATAGAAAAGTAAATTGAATAAAAAAGGAAGTTGAATAAAAAGAAAAAGGAAAGTTCCATAAAATTAAAAATGGAAGTTCATTCCAGAAACCACTATATCTTAACGTTCCATTTGAAAATTAAATTAAAAAGGAAGTTTAATAGAAAAGTAAGTTGAGCAAAAATGGAAGTTGAATAAAAATAAAAATGAAAGTTGCATAAAATTATAAATGGCAGTTCAATCCAGAAACCGCTGTACCTTAACGATCTGTTTGGAAATTAAACAAAAAAGGAAGTTGAATAGAAAAAAAACTTGAATTAAAAAAGAAGTTGAATAAAAATAAAAATGGAAGTTAATTCAAGAAACCACTATACCTTAACGATCTATTTGGAAATTAAATAAAAAAAGAAGTTGAATGGAAAAGAAAGTTGAATAAAAAAGGAAGTTGAACAGAAATAAAAATGGAAGTTGCAGAAAATTAAAAATGGAAATTCATTGAAGAAACCGCTATACCTTAACGATCTATTTGGAAATTAAATAAAAAAGGAAGTTGAATAGAAAAGAAACTTGAATGAAAAGGAATCTGAACAAAAATAAAAATGGAAGTTGCAGAAAATTAAAAATGGAAGTTAATTCAGAAACCACTATACCTTAACGATCCATTTGGAAATTAAATAAAAAAGGTAGTTGAATAGAAAAGAAACTTGAATAAAAAAGGAAGTTGAACAGAAAGAAAAATGGAAGTGGCAGAAAATTAAAAATGGAAGTTCATTCAAGAAACCACTATACCTTAACGATCTATTTGGAAATTAAATAAAAAAGGTAGTTGAATAGAAAAGAAAGTTGAATAAAAAATGAAGTTGAACAGAAATAAAAATGGAAGTTGCAGAAAATTAAAAATGGAAGTTCATTCAAAAAACCACTATACCTTAACGATCTGTTTGGAAATTAAATAAAATAGCATGTTGAATTGAAAAGTAAATGGAATTAAAATGGAAGTTGAAGAAAAAAAAAATGAAAGTTGCATAAATTAAAAATGGAAGTTCCTTCCAGAAACCACTATACCTTAACGATCTATTTGGAAATTAAATAAAAAAGAAAATTGAATAGAAAAGTAACTTCAATAAAAATAGAAGTTGAATAAAAATAAAAATGAAAGTTGCAGAAAATTAAAAATGGAAGTTCATTCAAAAAACCACTATACCTTAACGATCTATTTGGAAATTAAATAAAAAAAAGGAAGTTGAATAGAAAAGAAAATTGAATAAAAACGGAAGTTGAATAAAAATAAAAATGGAAGTTGCAGAAAATTAAAAATGGAAGTTCATTCGACAAAACCACTATACGTTAACGATGTATTTGGAAATTAAATAAAAAAGGAAGTTGAATAGAACATAAACTTGAATGAAAAGGAAGTTGAGCAAAAATAAAAATGGAAGTTGCAGAAAATTAAAAATGAATGTTCATTCAGAAACCACTATACCTTAACGATCTATTTGGAAATTAAATAAAAAAAGGTAGTTGAATAGAAAAGAAACTTGAATAAAAAGGGAAACTGAACAGAAATAAAAATGGATGTTGCAGAAAATTAAAAATGGAAGTTCATTCAAGAAAACATTATACCTTAACGATCTATTTGGAAATTAAATAAAAAAGGTAGTTGAATAGAAAAGAAAGTTGAATAAAAAATGAAGTTGAACAGAAATAAAAATGGAAGTTGCAGAAAATTAAAAATGGAAGTTCATTCAAGAAACCACTATACCTTAACGATCTATTTGGAAATTAAATAAAAAAGCAAGTTGAATAGAAAAGTAAATGGAATCAAAATTGAAGTTGAAGAAAAAGAAAATGAAAGTTGCATAAAATTAAAAATGGAAGTTCATTCCAGAAACCATTATACCACAACGATCTATTTGGAAATTAAATAAAAAAGGCAGTTGAATGGAAAAGAAACTTGAATAAAAAAAGGAAATTGACCAGAAATAAAAATGGAAGTTCATTCAAGAAACAACTATACCTTAACGATCTATTAGGAAATTAAATAAAAAAGGTAGTTGAATAGAAAAGAAAGTTGAATAAAAAATGAAGTTGAACAGAAATAAAAATGGAAGTTACAAAAAATTAAAAATGGAAGTTCATTCAAGAAACCACTATACCTTAACGATCTATTCGGAAATTAAATAAAAAAGCAAGTTGAATAGAAAAGTAAATGGAATCAAAATTGAAGTTGAAGAAAAAAAAAATGAAAGTTGCATAAAATTAAAAATGGAAGTTCATTCCAGAAACCATTATACCTTAACGATCTATTTGAAAATTAAATAAAAAAGAAAGTTGAATAGAAAAGTAACTTCAATAAAAATAGAAGTTGAATAAAAATAAAAATGGAAGTTGCAGAAAATTAAAAATGGAAGTTCATTCCAGAAACCATTATACCTTAACGATCTATTTGGAAGTTAAATAAAAAAAGGAAGTTGAATAGAAAAGAAAATTGAATAAAAAAGGAAGTTGAATAAAAATAAAAATGGTAGTTGCAGAAAATTAAAATTGGAAGTTCATTCAAGAAACCACTATACCTTAACGATCTATTTGGAAATTAAATAAAAAAGGAAGTTGTATAGAAAAGAAACTTGAATAAAAAAGGAAGTTGAACACAAATAAAAATGGAAGATGCAGAAAATTAAAAATGGAAGTACATTCAACAAACCACTTTACCTTAACGATATATTTGGAAATTAAAAAAAAAAAGCATGGTGAATAGAAAAGTAAATTAAATAAAAATGGAAGTAGAATAAAAAGTAAAAGGAAAGTTGCATAAAATTAAAAATGGAAGTTCATTCCAGAAACCACTGTACCTTAACGATTTATTTGGAAATTAAATAAAAAAGGCAGTTGAATAGAAAAGTAACTTCAATAAAAATAGAAGTCGAATAAAAATAAAAATGGAAGTTACAGAAAATTAAAAATGGAAGTTCATTCAAGAAACCACTATATCTTAACGATCTATTTGGAAATTAAATAAAAGAAGGAAATTTAATAGAGAAGTAAATTGAACGAAAATGGAAGTTGAGTAAAAATAAAAATGAAAGTTGCATAAAATTAAAAATGGAAATTCATTCCAGAAACCACTATACGTTAACGATCTATTTCGAAATTAAATAAAAAAAGAAGTTGAATAGAATAGTAACTTGAATAAAAATGGAAGTTGCAGAAAATTAAAAATGGAAATTCATTCAAAAAATCACTATACCTTAATGATCTATTTGGAAATTAAATAAAAAAGGAAGTTGATTAGAAACATAAATTGAATATAAATGGAAGTTGATG